CCTCCAGCCGCCTCCTTCCCCACCGTCCCACCTTTCCTGGGTCCCCCTCTGTGAGTCCCCCGTGTCCCTTCCAGCCCACCTCGAAGAAGACCTGCCCTGAGGACGCCGAGCCAGAGCGGGAGCCGGAGGGCGACGGGGAGAAGAAGGGCAACGCGGAGGGTAGCAGCGACGAGGAGGGGAAGCTGGTGATCGACGAGCAGTCCAAGGAGAAGAACGAGAAGGCTGGGATCAAGAGGAAAGCAGAGGATGCTTTGGAGGTAGGGGGACGTCAGGGATGCGGGTGACGGGGGGTCCGGGGCTGGGCTAAGCCAAGCTCCCCCTGCCCAGGACTCCCCCAAACGCCCCAAGGAGGCGGAGGGGCAGGAAGGAGAGAAGAAGGTAGACAACGAAGAGGCCCCCAAGGAGGAGCCGAAACCCAACCCGGCTGAAGGGGAGAAGAACAGCGACGCTGCCAGCGTGCCGGACACCAACGAAGCCAAGCAGGAGGGCAAAGAGAAGGCGGGCACGGAGGAGGTCAGAGACCACAAGGAGAGGTGAGGGTGGTGCGGTGACCCCCGTCCCCAAAAGCTGGGCTCCTCCCTGCCCACCCTGGGCACAGGGGAAGGTTCCCGGCAGTGCAGAGGGGGGGTCCCGGTGCCGCAGGGTCCCTGACCGACCGCCCGGGGCTTTTCTTGGTTCCCGCAGCCTGTAGCGGCCTCCCCGGCGAGCTGATCTTCCCACTTGCCCCTTCCCCGCTGGGCTCCCTGGGTGCTGCCCCGTCTCGCCCTTGTCGGCTCGTGGCGTCTGCAGCTCCCGGATCAGAGAAACAAAGTGAAAATGAAATTTTAAAACAAAAAAAAAAAACAAAAAAAAAAAAAGAAAGGAAAAAAAGAGAGAGAGAGAAATGAAGAGGAACCCGGTAACACGAACCCCTGAACCGACCCGCATCTCCCGGCCCCGCCGTCGCGGGGCGCATGCTTTGTATTAGTGATTTCTAGGGGGCTGATCAGTTGATTTGAAATAAAAGCAATTCATGCCTTTTTAAAGCGCTTCCATCAGCGTCTCTGTACCCCGGGGTTTGGCCCTTTCCAGGATTTCAGGCCCCTTTGGGCTGCCGTAATCCCGCAGTGTGGGGGGCTGCTGCCGGAGAGGGGGTCCGGTGTCCCCCTGGCAGCTTCGGTTTGGTTTCTTGGTGGTAGAGAGGGAAGTGCAGGAGATGGGCGCAAACTGCGGGCCGTTCTGGGGGCAGAAGGGGTTGAAAGAGGGAAAGGAAAGAGGCGAGGGGAAGGTTTTTTTGGAGGGGAGGCGTTTAATAAAATAGAAAACCACGATTCTGCCAGAAAACAACGCTGAGAGGGCCAGGCCGAGGGGCTTCGCTGTGCCCGGGCTGGGTGCGGGGCTGTGCCTGCGG